AAAAGAACTTTGGTATTTGGAGTTAGAGAAAAGACAAAAGAAACTTAATTTCTCCATGAAGACATTGCTGTTGTTCCACAGTGATGAAGAGGATGGTTTTCCATCATGTTCTTTATCTATTGAAACATTTCCCTCTGTATAATCATTCACAGATTTTCTGCAGGAGTTCCTGGACTAGAAAAATCATATTTGTTGTCTCTGAACTAGAGAAACATGAAGATCACAGATGAAATCCTCATGAAGGCCTTGATGATAGAGATGTTTTCAGAGAGAAGAGATGGAGGCATTAGTAGCTGCAGTTTCATTTCTTTGTTAATTAATCCTGTTTGCAAACATCAGAGCGAAAAGTGAAGCAAAGTGAATTAGTGCAGAAAAAAGTGTAAAGAGAATAAAGAATAAAGCGCCTGCATGTCTCTGCTGAGTCATTCTGTGTCAGAGAATCCAGAACGGTTCTGTCTTGATGTTTTTCTCTGTGGTCAAAGTCTTGGTGCTGACCTGCTCAGACAAACATGCCCGGCTCTGCAGAACCGCAGCTTTGGACCTGAAATCACCGGGATTAGAGCAGCTTGGATTTCCTTGAAACTTGGTGATTTAGGACGGAGACTTGGATCGTCAGAGTTGTGTTTGTGGCTGCGAGGAGAACAAATGTTCCCTCTGGTCTTCAGGGAAAAACCAAACTGTCTTTTACCAAACTTTAAAAACGCTGCAGATGTTCTGATGTTTCTTTTTGGACTTTAGCTTCTCTTTCACTCATTTTATCATCAACATTTGACCTTTTTAAAGCACTTATTTCTTTAATGTGGAATTTCTTTATATTTCTGTGTTCTATGAATGAAGCAGTGTTTAGGCGACATGTAACAGAAAACCCGGCAGGAACCAGCCTGACCCGGTTCTGCAGCTGAATCTGTGAATAATCCCAAAGAAAACACAGTTTAGCAGGAAGAAAACAGACCTTTGGCTCCGACTTTATAAGTGATGGACGGTCGCCCATCTGAAGTCTATGAATGTTTTTTCCTGTTAATTAAGGACCTTCAGAGGCGTCTATAGAGCCTCTAAGACCAGAGAAAGCCATGAAAGGACTGAAAAAGCTGCAAAATTCAAAGCAGAGACAGTTTATAAAGCTTGATGAGCTTCGACTGACAGAAGGTCAGGCTGCTGAGGGGGAGGATGTCCAAAGTTCAGAGCTAGTTCAGACCTGTTGAAATATTTGGGTCAAAAAACCTGAAGCTTTGTAGAAAAAGAGGATAACAAACCATGAAGGAGGAGAAGAAGAGGTTTAACTCTGTCCGGGACGTCAGGGTCTGTTTCCTTTCTGTCCACTAGGGGTCAGTACATGTCTCTGGAAATAAACTCTTCCTTTCAGCAACTGGAGGGATTAAAAAAAAAAGAGCATCAACTGAACGGAGGAGAAAGGGCCTTTTTTATTTCCTGGGACATGACTTCATATCCAAATGTAGGAAAATGTGAGGCTGCAGCAGCCTGTGGGAAACTCCTGCTCTGAAACAGAACAGCATAATGTGAGACTGAGCTTCTCCATCTGGGGGCCCAAACAGCTGCATTCAATCATCATCGCCTCTTCTGACTACTGATATAAACCCCCCTTCACCCCCACGCTGCCTTTTAAGGCAGATTAAACAATCACTGAATCACAATCAGATCAGATCCAAGCTAAAAGTCTTTAAAGTTCAGAGCAGATTAATCAAATAAAGGATGTTTCTGGGGATCAGTCTGATGGAAAATCCCTGTTTACTTTCTAAAGCTCAGGATGTTCAGTTCACGGTATAGATCTAGTCTTACTAGATGCTTCTGAGGCTTCATGGGGTGAATTTCTACCTACGCTGTAGAGTCCTTTGATAAAGCTGATAGAGCAGCTCAGGTTATCCTGAGCGATCGTCTCTGCAGTGTGACTTTAACTCATGTGAGTTAGGAGAAATGCATGTTTGCTTTATTCTACATTTATTCAAATATTTAATCAGATTAATTTTTAATCGTATTATTAATATTATAATTATTCATTAAAACAAGATTAATTAAAGGTGTCCTATATTCTGGAACGACCTTCAGGAATAAATGAGGTTCCTTCTAAGAACTTTCAGGTTACTTTATTGATCTGGTGGCTAACTGCCTGGAGATACCAGTGAAGTGTACTGGGAGCAGACTGGAACCAGTCCTAATTCCAGCCTTCTGGAAACATGTGCCTGGTTCCCCTGAAGCAGAGGAACGAGACGTTCTGAAGGAGGAATGGCGCCGCTCTGCTGCAGGGCGCTGAGCCGCCCCACTAAAGAAAAGCATTTAAATCGGTTTTCAGGTGTGAATAAATCCAGTTGGAAACTTTAGTTTAATGTTTATATCTCTGAGAGTTGAAAACGTTTCTCAGGTCTGTTAAAGGTTGTTTGGTTCAGGTTGTGGTTTCATCTGCTGCTCATGCTGACAGATCTCCGTCTTCTGTTTCTGCACAGGAACCGTCTGAGCTCGGCCTGAAGATGAGGAGGCATCGCCTGCTCCCCCTGTGCGTCCTTCTGGGGCTCCTGTTTGCAGCTTTCCCCGTTAAGCTCCACGCTCAGGACGGTAAGTTGAACCTGATCGTTTTCTCAGCACCGTTAGATTAACGTTAAAGCGAGCAGCAGTCTCTACATTGCAGCTGTAAGTCAGAAATCTTTGGTCAAACATGTGAGGAAGAACAAGCTGGACTAAAACTGCCTGAAATTGATGCACATTTTTAAAGCCATTCGACGTCAAACTAAAACTTTCTTCATCTTGAGTTCAGGCTTTATTTAAACGGATGTAACCAAACTGGGAAACCTGCCACCCTCACAGTCTGGCAGAGTTTAGATCCTAATCAATCTGCTGATTATTTAAGCCAGAAATCGCTGAAACAAACCAAGTTAGATGATTAAATGTCCATGACAGACGTCTTCATGGAACCGGATGAAGAACAGGCTGATGCTGTCAGAGTGACATAATTAGTTTAATCACCAAGTTTTTGTCTTTTTTCACTGGTCTTCTCTCCTCTGAAGACTGTGCTGAAGGTTTGGCAGCTGATGTGTACTTTCTAGTGGATTCGTCGTGGAGTATGGGGCAGGAGAACTTTGAACATGTCAGAAGGTTTCTGTTGACCTTGATCAAAGCTCTGCACCAGGTGGGAGGAGGCCGCTTTAGGTTCGCCCTCATACAGTTCTCTAGCAGACCCCAAACGGAGTTCCACCTCAACACCTACCCAACGACGCAGGACATCCTGGGACACGTTAGGGCCATGTCTTACCGCGGCGGGGGCACCCGGACCGGCCTCGGCCTGGAATTCCTGCTCCGAACACATTTGACCTCAGCTTCGGGAAGCCGAGCGACGGAAGGCGCGGTCCAGGTGGCGCTGGTCCTGACGGACGGCCGATCGCAGGACGACGTTGCCGAGCCGGCTCAGGTGCTCCGGATGGCCGGCGTGGAGATGTTTGCTGTGGGAGTTCAGGATGCGGTGGCGTGGGAGCTGCGGGAGATGGCGAGCCAGCCAGAAGATTCCCACGTGTTCAATGTGGACTCCTTCCTGAAGTTACAGGATATCATTCAGGATGTAGTAGTGAGTGTTTGCAGCGCAGTGACCCGGGTGGGGGGTGGTCCTTTGGTCAATGAGGCCCCAATGGCTGGACAAGGGACAGGTAAAGACACGGCCCCATGTCAACTAGCACACTAACCTGCCCACATGTGCAGGAAGAACCAGCTGCCTGTGACATCATGGACCTCATTATTAACAGTTTTTAATGTGATCTCAGCACTATAACCTTCTCACACGCAGAATTAACTAAACTGTTTGGCAGTGATGCAGACTGCACCTCATTCTTTCCTCGAGCTAACCGCGTTTCCGCAACTAACCGTTCTTCCCCAGAGTTAGACATAACTTCAGCACAGAGAGTAGCGAGAATAAAGGTTTTATCTAGTTTATCTAATTATTCTGTTAAGGTGGAAATTAATTAATCAATCCTGAAATATCGACAATCATTTTACAAGATAAGGCAACAAAGTTTTATTTACCTTGTTAGAAGCTCTATTTGCCTGAATTTGGGCCAAAAGGAGGAAATTAAAATGAGACATTTGAGTAAAACAGAGAGAAGAATGTAGAGCAAGTAAAACATCCATTTTGTTAGAAAGACTTTTTAAAGATATTGTCTAAGAATGAGAGCGTGGGACCGATCTCTACGGTGTGACGCAATCAGTGAAAGAAAACCAAGATGGTCGCCATGGAGGCAGAAGAAGAAATGTTTTCATTTATTCTGCAAGATGAAGGGGCGCCGTTAATAAGCGTAACTCAGCTCCGGGTTTTTTCCCAGAAACGAACAAACGTCCGTCTCCAGACAAGACTCTGCTTGCTGGCAAAGAATCAGCTTAAAGAGAAAAAACATCTCAATTTAACAGAATTTAGTCCAGATAAGGATCCATGAAGGAAAGTTAACATCCTGGAAGCTTGAAAACATCTCCAGAAAATGTTAGCGATTGAGCTTTTAACCTTAGCTAACCATGCACCAATGCTTGTGTGTCCTGCACATGTGTCTATGTGTCCATGTGAACCATTTCCAGTACTCCGTGTTTGAAACAGTCATGAACCTGTTGGAAATCAGCCCTGGCCTGCTGCTGTGGTACGGAGGAGGAGGCGCCGTCATCTGTCGGCCATTGGAACGGAGAAATTATTGGGACTAAAGACGCAGACCTATAAAAAACAGATTTAATCAGTTAAAGATGCAGGTTATGGATGATCCACGGGTTCATGACTGATCACCTTACATCTGTAACAAGAGTCTGCATGGGAAGGCTGAACTCAAGCACAGCAGCGTTTAAACTCATGAGTTTCTTTCCAGTTTTTTATCAGATAGTGAATCATCTAAGAGCAGCTTTAGGCGCCTTCTGATTGAATCAACTTTCATTTATATAGTTTTATCTTCACATGTAGAGTTAAAGCATCCAAGATGGCGTGGCTCAGAGGGAGACCAGCTTAGCAGCCAACAGATGGGCGCCATCTAGTTTCTTTAAAGAGGAAACTTCTGTTAGAACTTTAGTTATTAGAGTATTAAGTTCTGATGATAATTAGTGTTGCGTCGATGCCATTTTTTGGCCCCGATACCCGATACCTGGCTGTGCAGTATCGGCTGATACCGATACCATAATAATGTAAAATAATGTCCATCATGGCTTCATGTCAAGCTTCTGCCTTCCTTTGTGACGCAGGAAAAAATCTACTACAAAGTGAATCCTGTAGAACTTTTTATTGCCTACCAGGAGTGGGTGACAATAGTTGAATAAACTTTTGGCTCTTAAAATGGTATCAGTGCCCTATTTGTTGGTACTCGCGATACTGATACCACCATTTTAGGGCAGTATCGGGGCCCCGTCCGATACTGGTATCGGTGCAACACTAATGATAATAGAGGGAAAATGGCGCCCCATTAGCTGCATACTAACTTTGTCTATAAAGTAGCAGCCATTCAAAATGGCCCTTCCCAGTTAAAAGCAGCCGAATGGCAACAGAATCCCCTCCAACTTCCAGCCCCTGTCCTTCTCCTGGGCATGCATATTTATTTACTCTGACTCCGACCTTTCACTGAATTACAGGGTCTGACCAGGAGATGGCGCTTCTCTTTAGGACCAGCTAAGGTCCTTTGTACTAAAATGTTCTTTCTGTCATGATTTGTGGACATTAAGATCTAAAGAGTAGCGCCATCTCCTGGTTAGGACCAGCCAAGGGCCCATCAGGGAAAATGTGGTTATTTAGAATGGCTACTATTGAACAAGTAAATTTCTTCAATGAAAACGCCAATAAAAATAGATGCTTTGGACTAAAGGAAGCCAGATGACAGGAGGAGGTGTCCTTGGTTCAGCCTACATGCAGTATGACCTGTTTTCCAATGTTGTTGATTCATTGACTCTGTTTCTACACACATGCAGCGATTTGCTAACTTTGATTGATGTCTGTGTCACTGTCTCAGTAGAGTATTTACTTTCACTATTCCCATGTTCTTCTGTTTTTCTGTTTCTCTCCTTAAAGCACCAGATTCAGCTGACCTAATATTCTTAATTGATGGATCACAGAACGTTGGAGCAGCTAACTTCCTCTATGTGCGCGAATGGCTTCTGAGAGTCATTGAGCGCCTCTCTGTGGGCAGTGACAGCATTAGGGTGGGTTTGGTCCAGTACGACAATGACCCCAAAATCCAATTCTATCTGAATAGCTTTTATGAGAAATCCTCAGTCCTGGAAGAGGTGAAAGGACTGACCTTCTCCGGTGGCTATGAATCCAACCTGGGTGCTGCCCTGGTGGACGTGGCTCAGAGGCTGTTTGAGAAAGCGGCCGGAGGCAGGGCAGAGGAGGGCGTACCCCGTATTTTGGTGATCGTCAGTGCCGGAGAACCCAGTGATGACGTTAGTGTCAGTCTACAGGCCCTCACAAGCGCCCAGGTGTTCACATTAGGGGTGTCGATTGGTCCATCCGATGCTGCATATCTGGAAGAGGTGGCCATAGATCAAGCTTTTGTTCTAAAAGCAGACAATGTCAGAACATTGTCAGCCACCGTCGATCAGCTTGTCAGCTTCATTACCGGCTTCGCCACAGGCGCCCTTGAAATTAAGACGGAGTTCTCCGAAGGTAGGTAACGTCTTCAAGGGTTGGTGGGGCTCTGGGTCCTGAGCTCAGGGTGGGGAGGTTGCTTCACAGACTTACTGCTACACGGCTGTTCATCTTATTCTGGCATTGCACCAATTAGATCAGCCAACGAATAATTTAATACTGTTATTACTGATTAATGATTATTAATGTAAATTACATTGAAAAAAGTTAGAAAAAAAAGGTAAAAAGCTCATTTAAAAGTTAGAAAAGTAGAAAATGTTATTTCCTGTATCAGCATTAATCATCTAAAATTAAAATGTTTTTCCTAATATTTCAGCGCCAGCGGCCATTTTTTCTTGTTACATTGACCTCATTTTCTACCTTTCCATACAGATTTTTTGAATGTTACAAAACTAATAAAGATTACAAAAGCCTTTCTTGCTTGAAATTTAGATTTTAAAAATATTACATGGAGTGCCCTTTAAAGGGTTAAAACAATCCACATGTTGGACTTTTCTGCTCCTCCCACATATTAGTTTTCCTTTCCAATGTGACGCCATTTAAGGCCAAATCCTGCAGACAGATTTTTAAACTGTCTAAAATGTTCTGAAAAAAGTCCATTTGAACCTAGAAATCTTCAACCAACCAACAACATTCATGGTTTCAGTCCTTTCCTGGCTGGAAATGTCACTAAAACAGCCTCTACAGAATCATCCAACCCAATCTGGATGATTCTGCAATGACAGACTGAACTCAAACACTTTAAGCCTTTTTAAATAAAAGCATAGACTGAAACAGATCCTACTATTTATTCTACTGATTACTTTATTCCAGCAGGAAAAATGCAAAGTAAACCCTTCATCGTCCTCTGCAGCGACGTTAGTCACCAAAAGCTAAATGAGATGGTAGCATTAATACGTAATGTTTTAACACAAAGATGTAAGTAAAGAACATAAATAGAAAGAGTCAAACCTGGAGTCAAACACTGCTCCCCGGGCGCCGCACAATGGCAGCCCACTGCTCCCCCTGGGGAAGGGTTCAATGCAGAGAGGGATTTTCTTTGACAGTGGAATGAAAAATAAAGTTAAATTCTATTCTATTAAAGATGGGTTATCTTTGTCAGAATTATAATGTTTACATGAATCCTAAATAATTATTCCTATTTCAACTCCCAAACATTTTAAGTTCAACAAGTTATGTATTTTTAATCACCTTTAAACTTGAAGCCAAACTAATAGTAAAATATTTTTTACAGTTTTCAATCAAACCATTTACATGACGTTTAAGTCAAAGGAAGGCTATGCTAACATAAATATTTCTCTTTCCAGTGGTACCAGTTGGAAAGCGAGACATTGTTTTCCTGGTCGACAGCACAATGGGAACAGCTGTCATCAACACTGTACGCGAATACATCAGGCGGTTCGTCAGCGCCAGGGAAATCGGTCCAGATGCCGTCCAAGTTGGTATTGCCCAGTTCACGACGGACACGAGGCTGTTGATGGACCTCAACAGCCACGCAGATAAGGCTTCTTTGCTGGCTGGTTTGTCTGGCGTCAAGCCGAGACAGGGACAGAAAATCAACATTGGATCCGCCTTGAACTTTGTGCGAGAGGAAATGTTGAGACCTGAAAAGGGAAGCCGCATCGAGCAGGGCGTTCCTCAGCTGGTGCTGCTGATAGTCAGTAAAAGCTCAGATGACGACCTGGAGGGACCAAGTCAGGCTCTGAAGGCCATGGGCGTTCTGACTCTGGCTGCAGGATCCAAGGCTGCTAACCAGCAGGAGCTCAATCAGATCGCCTTGTCTGAAGCAATGGTGTTCATGGCAAAAGATTTTAGACAACTGTTTCGCAACGCCCGGGAAATAACCGACGCGCTCCTCACCCTGTCTGGGGTGGTGGTGGTCCCCAATCTAGGTAAGTCCTCATCTGACTGTAATTTGAATGTGTTCCTGAGCTTTGATTAAAATGCAAACTGTTTCATCTTAACCAATAAAAAAATACAATATAAACAAATATAAAAGCTAAATCAGGACTCGTCTTCAGTTTTAATGGATCTTGGTGGCTGGAATAGTTGAAGTGTCTCAACTCAGTTTAAGTTTTGTATTAATCCATCATCAATCCTTCCAAGCTCTGGGTCCTTTAAATCTAATGTGTTTTTGCTGCGCAGCATCCCAAAACATGCTGGAGCCGCTCACATCTAGATTATATTTAAGATTAATCTGTTGCTGAAGGTGACTAAGGCTACATTCACACTGCAGGCCTTGATGTCCAATTCCCATTTTTTGTGAAATCTGATTCTTCTGCTGATCGTTCACATTTCCAAGTATATACGTGACTTGTATGTGACCTCCTGGTACGTACGCAGATTTCTACGTCCCTACGATCCTCAATCCAATCCCCCAGTTGAGTGTGCCTGACTCCACCTGCAGGTGGATTACAGACTTCCTGTCTGACAGGAAGCAGCAGGTGAAGCTGGGAAAACATGTCTCTGACTCCCAGCTCATCAGCACTGGTTCCTTCCAGGGCTGTGTTCTTCCTCCTCTGCTCTTATACCTGAACACCAACGGCTGCACCTCCAGTCATCAGTCTGTCAAGCTTCTGAAGTTCACTGACGACACCACCCTCAACAGACTGATCTCTGATGGTGACGAGTCCGCCTACAGGTGGGAGGTTGACCATCTGGTGACCTAGTGCAGGGAGAACAACCTGGATCTCTAAAAACAGGGGAGATGGTTGTGGATTTCAGGAAGAATTCAGCCCCAGCTACCCCCATCACTCTCTGGGACTCCACTATTGACACTGTGGAGTCTTTCTGCTTCCTGGGAATGACCATCTCACAGGGCCTAAAGTGGGAGCTGAACATCAACTTCCTCACCAAGAAAGACCGGCAGAGGATGAACTTCCTGCGAAAAAATCCCACCTTCCAAGGACAATGATGGTGCACTTCTACTCCTCCATCACCGAGTCCATCCTCACCTCCTCCATCCCCATCTGGTACGCTGGTGCCACCACCAAGGCCAAGGGCAGACTGCAGCGTGTCATCCGGTCTGCAGAGAAGGTGATTGGCTGCAATCTTCCATCTCTCCAGGATGTGTACGCATCCAGGACTCTGAGGCCTGCAGGGAAGATTGTGGCTGATCCCTCGCACCCCTAGCCACAAACTATTTCAGTCCCTTCCCTCTGGCAGGAGGCTGTAGTCCATCAGGACCAAAACCTCACATTCTTCCCATCTACTACCAGCCTTATCAGCAAGGCCCAGAGACCCCCGTCACCCTGATACTGCCTGTCTCCCTCCCACCGTTCAGGACTTAGAACCTATACCAACGTAGCATCTCCCGACCTCCTGCTTTACACCAATGCACAGCCTACTGTATGTTGTGTATTGTATATAGCTATAGATTCTGTATTTTGTATATATATATCTATTTTGTGTGCACCATCAACACCAAATCAAATTACTTGTAAGTGCAAACCTACTTGAAAATAAACTTGATTCTGATTCCGAACTGCATTCACACAACTTAAGTGTCCCGCATGCGCAGTAGAGGAAGCAATGATGTCACAGGTAGCGAGTGTGCTCTGTGTTAGCAGAAATAAACATGAATGATAGTGCTGGAGCTCATCTCACCATCTTTGATCTATTTCCCAACCTCAGCAAGTGCATTAATAGCAATCTTTCAAGACTGCTCTCTGCATTACCATCTGGTTGTTATTTTTCTTTCAGCTTCTGCATAGCAAGACGCAGAATAGTGACCTTTGTTCCGGGTATTAATGGTGTTCATGTCGTATAAATGCGACCTGGCTATTCAGAGACAGGTCGCATATGGGTAGAAAAATCGGATTTTGGGCATTTCAGGCTGCTGTGTGAACGTAGCCTTGGTCGACATGGAAATAACAGTTTCCCTTTGTTCTTTTTCTTAGACGAGGAGATCATCGTGGAGAGGCCTAGAGTTGTACGTGACATTGTGTTCCTTGTGGATGGATCAAACTATGTCGGCCGAAATAACCTGCCCTTCATAAGAGACTTCATGATCAACGTGGTCAACCAGCTGGAAATAAGCCCTGATCAGGTCCAAATCGGCCTCATGCAGTTTGCAGAGCAGCCAAGGGTTGAATTTTACCTGAACACCTACAACAACAAGAGGGATGTTGTGGCCAAAATCTCCGGACTGAGGCTTACTGGAGGCTCGGTCCTGAACACAGGAGCTGCAATGAATTACGCTTTGCAGAACATGTTTCAGCCATCAGCTGGGTTACGCAAGAAAGCTGTGCAAGTGTTGGTTCTCATCACAGGTGGTCCACCCCAGGATAACGCATTAAGTGAGGCAGATAGATTGGCTTTGGCAAATATTGTGACTTTCACTGTCAGTTCTGGGCAAGCAGACGAAGATGTAATGAGAAAAATTGCATTCGTTACAAATCTGGCTTATCACCAACAAAGCTTCTCGGAATTTCCAGCCTTGGCCGAAATCATCATGCCAAGTCTAATAACGGTGGTTGGTGCTACGGAAGTCGACGATCAAGGTCAGTTTTATGGTTCTCTTTTTCTTATATTAAACAATGTTCCAAACTGATATAGATTTAAGGAGCTGTTGTTTTTTTCTTAACCCCTAGACTCTAAAAGAGATGTTGCTTTCCTGATTGATGGCACTGACGGTGTTCGAGGAGATTTTGGCTACATCCGCGATTTTATCCTTCGGGTCATTGAGCCACTTGACATTGGCATTGACAAAGTACGCATCTCAGTGGTTCAACACAGTGAGAGACCCTATCCAGTCTTCAACCTCAACACCTACCAGACTAAGGAAGAGGTGATCAGGGCGGTTAGGGGAATGACCCTCGCTGGTGGACGCAGCTTGAATACGGGAGCCGCTCTGAGATACATGAAGACCACCACATTGTCTGACAGCAATGGCAGCCGGAGTTCTGAAAGTGTCCCTCAGTTCCTCATTGTTTTGGCTGCAGACAGATCCATGGATAGCGTAAAAGAACCTGCGGGTGATCTGAAGACGGATGGAGTTGTACCACTTGGAGTTGGTGTCAAGAATGCTGACAAGAGGCAGATCGTAGATATTTCCCACAACCCTGCCTTGGCCTTCAATGTGAAGGAATTCACTGAACTTGAAACGATACCACCGAAGATCAACTCCTACATCGGTTTGTCCGCGGACCAGCTTGCACTAGCCCTGCAAGGTAGGACAGTCAATTTTCCTTCTTGGTCCGCTGAAGCTGAAGCCTGAAAAACTGCTTTGATGTGATGTTTTGCTGCTAGATCAGAATAACTGAACTTTATCTTTGTCATAGTGCAAAAAGATGCAGTCAAAAGAGATATTGTGTTCCTGCTGGATGGTTCTGATAACACCAAAAACGGATTTCCAGACATAAAGCACTTTGTTAAAAGCATAGTGCAGCGCCTCAATGTTGACGAGAGCCTTGACAGAGTGTCTGTGGTTCAGTTTGCTGATAGCTCCAAGGTCAGCTTTCATCTAAATTCCCACAAGACCAAAAACGACACCTTGAATGCCATTGATAACTTAGCACACAGAGGTGGGAGGCGACTTAATGTTGCTGCAGCTCTCCAGTTTGTGAGGCACAGGGTGTTCACTTCCTCCACAGGGAGCAGACGACTAGAAGGAGTGCCTCAGGTCCTAGTCATTTTAACTAGCCAATCATCTGCAGACAGTGTGAAAGGACCAGCCTTGGCTCTTAAGGAACATGAAATTGTGGCAGTTGGTGTTGGAGTGGGAGACATTAACCTTGCAGAGTTGGAAATGATTGCATTTGAACCTGGCTTCATATACAGAGTCTCTGATTTCTCCAAGTTAAACTTAATCGAAAAACAAGTTCTTGCTGCACTGAACATGAACAAAGACAACCAAGAGACCAAGAATGGAATCTCTGATTTAGTAGGTAAGAGAACCTAATGTGAGTGTTTTACAGTATGGGGACAACTGAAGTCCTTAAAGTGTCGAAGACTGAAACATCTTTTAGTACAACAACTGATTATTTCTAATCTTTCACTTCAGATTATGTCTGTTTAAATTCTCAACCATCTGGGTCATGGTAACCACAGACAGGCTTAAACTGGATCCTCAGCACTCTTCTGATTTCCTGTTGGTTTTAAGTCTTTATCTTTGTAGTTCTGGTGTATTTATCTAATAAAATTAGTTCTCACTCAACCGGTTGACACATTCAGCAATAGGAGGGACAGATCTTTCTCCTTGATGGGTCACACAACTCCGGAAATTGACTTCCAGGTTTCTGATAGTTTTTCAGAAATTGACAGAGAAGCTGTTAACCGCTTTGAGTGAGCTGTGCAGCTACTGTTTACTCTAACCTGTTAACTCAGAAAACCAAAGAGGCAGAAGGAGCAAGAGCTCGAAACGCTGGGCTGCCCTGTGGTTTGTGAAAAACCGTGTTTTGTCATCATCCTGGGGAAGCAGACACTCGGAGGGAGTTCTCACGGTTCTGGTTTTACTGACTGGGGGTACATCCAGTCCGCCAGTCAGTACCCCAGGGCGCCCTGGCTTCCTTCCATGTTGCTCTCCATTGTTTACTTTCCTGATTTCTGTGACACTGGTGACATAATCCATGCTGACCCAGCATAATGATGTAATGCAGGCCTCGCACATGCCAGCGAGTGGTTAGACCAGCTTTATTAGCCAATGGGAAGGGAGCCAGATGATGATTGTTAGCGTGATGGCCATGTTTGAAAAACATGCGTTATCCTGCTATTTTCAGTGGAAAAGAAATTTTGGTTTCACAGACTCACTGCTTGTGTCCTTCTAACCCTGAATGCTCATGAAACATACGTCGTTCACTTTCATGCTCTTGAAGTTTCTTGTGGAAGGTGTAACATTGACCTTCCATTGTCTCGTTTGCAGGTTTTCTAACTGAATTTTGGAGATGTTTAAATTTTTTTTGTAGCTTTCCCTTGAGCCAGTGATAAACACAACAGGGACTGATTAACATTCCTAACATTTTGATTTTAGTTTAGGATTTAAAAAAGGATGAATATCTTATCAATGTTTCTCAACAGTTTTCTTTATCAAGCTTCTGACCAAAGTTCTCAGGTGTTTTTTCGTTGCAGAAGCTTTCTAAAGCTTCACATTGTACTCATTTTGATTTGATGAACTGTAGCTTTGGGTTTGAATGTCTTTTGTCTAACTGTAAAACTTGCATTCTCTTCTAGTTGATCTAGATTCTCCTGAAAGGGACATTTTGTTCCTGTTGGATGGATCAGATGAGACTCTGACTGACTTCCAGGCAATGAAAACCTTTGTCCAACAAGTAGTAGAAACACTGAATGTTGGTGAAAATAAAGATCGTGTTTCTTTGGTTCAGTATAGCCAAGATCAGCGAACTGATTTCAGTTTTAACAGCCACCTGGATAAAGAAGCTGTTCTTAATGCAGTTCAGCAACTGAACCATAAAGGGGGCAACCTGCGAAACACTGGCGCAGCTCTCCGCCATGCGAGGAGAAGCTCTTTTACAGAGGCCTCAGGCAGCCGGCGTAGGGAGGGTGTCCCTCAGATACTGGTCCTGTTGACAGGAGGAAGATCTGGAGATGATGTGTCAAAGGCAGCTGTTGATCTAAAAAAGGACAAAGTTGTTCCATTTTGTGTCGGAACAAGAACTGCTGACCTTTTAGAGCTTCAAATGATTGCATATAACCCGTCCTACGCCTTCTCCGTTCCTACGTTTCATGACACTGGAAGCATTCATCAGCAGCTTGTGTCATTGGTTAAAAGGGTGCCACGGCAACAACTGAGAGAAAAAGCACAGAGTTCTATAGGTAAGACTGTTTGCATTTCCAGAGACAATTTGCTGACATGTTGAAGAGGGCAGAAGTTGAACAGAGTCAGTAAATCATCAGCAGTTCGCTTCATTCTAACAGGTGCTCAGTAATCCACCCTGGTCCACATTTTTAAAGAGTTACAGCTTCAAACATCTGTAGAATAATGGTTGTCTTTGGTTGGAATATATATAAAGGAATGCCTGTTTGTTCTGACTTTATAGGTTTCTCAAGCAGTTTAAAATCATGCAGCCTCAAATATAACCACCCAACCCTCAGTACCTGCTGCCATGATGTCCTGCTGGTGAAAGTTTAGGAAACTTCAAAACAAATGTTAACAGTAACATTAATAAAGGGGAAGGCCACAAAGGAGTCCATTCAGTTTATTTCTATAGCGCCAAATCACCACAAGTCATCTGATGGCCTTTATAGAGAGAATCCAGTCAGATTGGTTCAAAGTTTCTGTCAAGGAAAACCAGCTGATTGCATCGACTTATTGATAATTAAGCAATCCCTCAATCTGAGCATGCTTGTAGTGACAGTGGAGAGGAAAACTCCCTTTAAACAGGAAGAAACCTCCAGCAGAACCAGGCTCAGTGTTAAATTTAATCCCATCCAAATGAAGTGACTGACTAATCAGCTTCTTTTTCAGAGACTCTGGTCCAAAGACTATAACTTCTGTTTTGTCTGCATTCAGAAGCAGAAAGTTAAGAGTCATCCAGGTTTTTATGTCTTCAGACATGCCTGTAATCTATGTAATGGGTTAGCTTCATCTGGATTATAGACAGATATAGCTGGGTATCATCAGCATAACAGTGGAAATTAAATGGTCAGTTTAATAAGGAAAAAGGGTTAAACTTTACAAAACCATCACTTGTTAACGGTAAAGAGACTATTTATATGGACTGGCAGATTATTGTTGTTACTGTAAACGGGAAAATTGTTGAATCTAGTAGACTGATTGTATTTTAGGGGACAGGAGGAAATCTTTGGCAGAATATTTGCAGCTAAACATTCAAACACAGTTTTGCATTTTTAGATTTTCCTTAGTATCTTAAACTCTTAACGTCTTTTATCTGTTAAGGTTCTACGGCGCAAACAGAGGAACAAGATGTAGTGTTTTTACTGGACTCCTCTGATGACATGTTGAGCGACTTCACGCAGCTGCTCGGCTTTGTTGAGCAGATGGTGGAGAGACTTGGAGTAGATGAGAGGAAAGATCGAGTTTCTGTGGTTCAGTTCAGCCGTGAAGCTTCTGTTGAGTTTTTCCTCAACACGCACCAAACACGGCAGAGTGTTACCGACGGTGTGAAAAACGTCAGACCGAAAGGAGGCAGTGAACGCAACACAGGCGCTGCCATGAATTATGTGAAGGAGCGTGTCTTCACAGCTTCCTCTGGAAGCAGGCGTCACCAAGGCGTCCCTCAGAGCCTGGTTCTTCTCACTGGAGGAGTGTCGAGTGACGATGTCAGGAATGCAGTGCAAACGTTAAAGGAAGACGGTGTGAGGATATTTGTGGTGGGGCTAAAGGATGCAGATGTTCTTGAGATGCAGACTATCTCCCAGGAAGCCAGTAATGCTTTCCTAGCCGCAGATTTAAATGACATGTCAGAAATTAGACAACAAATCCTTTCATCCATTGAGAAGAATAAGAAATCTGCCGCAGAATCACACGGTAAGATTTACACCTCTAGATCTGAAGCTAAAGCTTAGGCTAAAGGTTAGGCTAAACGTTAGGCTAAAGGTTAGGCTAGGCTGTTTCTCAATGGCCCTATCGCTCTATGTGTACTTGTGCTTTCTCGTGTGATTGTGAAACGTCATCAGCCTCAGCACT